TCAAGTGAATCGGGAAGGTCGCATGCAACCCGGCGAACACCGCCCCTGGTCTGCCAGAGCTCTATTGTTTGCCTTGATAACATGTTCTGCAGTGGGTTTTGGTCTTCAGTGTGGCTCAGGTCGGGAACCCTGAAACCAGTCCCTGAATCCTGAATCCTAAGCCTGAACCCTAAGCCTTCTTCCAGAGGCGAAAGAGCGTTTCCAACTACCCGGCCTCCATCATCGTCGAACTGACCCTGCCGAGGTTTGAAAAGCCCTTGCAAACCTAAGGCCAACGTTCATCAAGGTAAAGCCTGGTGCAAATGAGACATCTCAGATGACGAGGTGCTGTGATGAAGTGGCGGATCTCTATCAGCAGCCTCAGGGCATTCGGCAGTATGGTCCGCGCATATTCGTGCGCGCTCGGCAAGCTGCGTGTACGTCTCTCTGCACACTGGAGCCATTTCGGGGTCAGAGATCATGATTTTGGCGTGAACTGGGAATGCACTTCCAACCCTGTAGAACACTTGAACAACTCCACCCTTGAAATGTTGACATCTGAGTCGTTGCAAGAAAACTAGCGCCAGCCAGGTCTCGCGATAGGTAGATCCTGGAGCGCCGTCGTGGATTTGTCCTGGCAACTGCGGAGCCCATCCTCGTACCCATGATGGCCCATTCCCATTTGCCCACGCATGGCAGTTCTATGGCCTTGTTCCATGATTACGGTCAAAGTTTAGTGCTGTCCTTCTCGGAAATAGAGTTTAGGGAACTCCCCTTCACCGAATAGATGGTGTGGAAGAACAAACACAAATGCATGAAATGCAGCGTGTCACATGGTGTCTAAACAGTTTGAACAAGACCACCAACAGGGCATGCCATCATCTCATAGCTTTGGGAGAGCGTGCTCAACGTGTTTCACACACGCGTCCGCGGAGTACGGGCCCTCTATTCAAAGGTTCTTCGGCTTTAACGTCATGACTGACGTCTTCAACGGCATGCTGCTTTAACTCGCCATCTCAACCCAAGTGTTTCACAGCGTTTCAACATGATTAAGCTCTCTGTGCCGCACAGCTACTTTTCCCACATTGGTCACTCACGCCTCCTCCACCTCCTCCGCTATGCTGCTCGCCTCCTCACGTTTGTAAGAGCACGCGCAGAAAAACTCGTGGTCTATGTCTCGCTTGTAGACATTCGGGGCAACACTGTATCATGGCTGCCTTTGCGACGCACGCACACAGTCCTCCGGCAGTGAAGCCCCATCCTCGCTGGATGTTTCCTTGACCTGCCAAGCAGACATCGCAACCAACTCCGGAAACCCGAAGCAGTTGCAAAACAAACTCGGTTGCTGCAGGCTTGCATCGCCTGCGCCGCTCATGTTCGTCCACAACAGCTCCATGCCTCAGCCAGAATCTTTGAGAAGGCCGCGCCAAACGGGCAGCAGACCTGTCTTGACGAGAATGAACACGCACAAAAAGCCCTGACGGGCGAGGAAAAAATCCACTTAGGGGCTTCCAGAATGCTGCTGGAAGCAACTTTGATGTTTTCAAAATAACCCTCGGTGTAACTTGAAGCACTTCAATGAAAATTTCAGAACACCTTGCCTCGGGTTCCGCCCACAGCCAGCGGAAACACTCCATCGAGCGGAGGATGGCGCGGGATCAAACGGTCTACAGTTTGAAGCAGCTCTTTATCAAGGACCGTTGATGCTTCTGTTGACGCCGCTTCGCCATCAAACTCCTGCGCTACTCAGATGCCGGACCACTCTGCGAAACATCCACCTCAAGGAGGCATTGAAAAGCCAAGTCCTGTGACTGGACAGATGTGCTAGCGATGAGATACGCCACGCGCTTCGAACCAGTGCAAATGACTGCAGACCACTCGATCGCACATCAGTCTGGCCCTCAAAAAGCATTTCAAGCCCGCGTACTCAAAGTCAGCGCAGGCGATATCTATGTCTCGTGTGCGCGCGCCTGCCCACCTGCGACTGTTGACGCACACCTTGCCGCGCCCAAAGAAATAGATACTACCGTCCCTATTTCTCGTTCGAACTCGTCGTGCCGAAAGCTTTGTGAACTCAAGGATTAGAAGGTCAGAGCATGTGAGGAGACTGCGCATTCGTGTTCTCCTCGCATTGGGCACCATTGAGACGCAGCCTGTCAGTCGTCAGCTATTCACAAGTTCAAGATGCCGACCTCGTTCCAAGTTGAAAGAAACGCACCCTGAAAGCGAGAGAAGCATTGTCGTGCAACTTGTCAACGTTATCCCCAAATCCCATATCACCACTCCAAGCATGGGATTGCTGGGGCGAGGAGTTGCGCAAAGTCAATCCCCATGTGGAAGAGGCATACGAGGCTTGCTCGTCCGGCTCTCGTGTGCCCGTGAGCAGTGAGACCAGCAAGTAGGACATCTGATGGTCGGGGGTGCTGGCGTACTTGCTCGGACGAGTAGTAAGTTAAACTGACATTGTTCTACAACGACATGGGGAAGATATTCTTGTAGACGAACTGAAGATTAGACTTAGATTTTTCAATACAAAAACTATGAACTTCTGTGGGGTATTCCTGTCGTGGACAATCAGTCTTGGACCCTTGTTGATTGCAGCAGATGCTTTTGACACTGCAGTCTTGCTCCTTCCGACGCTACGTGATTGCGGCAGCGACAGAAAGGGTGCCCAGGACTGCATGAGCTGGGCAAAAGTTCAGCGGAACGTTTTTTCCGAAACAGGGAAGCCCGGATGGGTCAAGAGCAATCTGTGTGAGCTCAAAGGGTTCAAGGGTTTAGGGTTGATGGCTTTTGGCTTGCCCCCGTAAGAGGAACCCGCGGTCTTGGGGTCTATGTTTAGGGTATAGGGGTTTCACAATTAGCAAAACTGTTGATGCAATTAATGCTCTGGAACCTTGAGCCCTAAATCCGCAACATGGCGGTCGGCATGCTAGTTTACTTGGAGGGTCGGGGGACTTAGGAACTAGATAGTAAGTAGACTTATAAGTACCCGAAAAGGGACCCTAATAGGGGTTATCCTACTTATAACTCCATTAGATAACTACTTACTAAGTCCTCCGACCCTCCAAGTAGTGTAGTTGGGTCTCTTCACAGCAGGTAGTCGAGCGAGTGTCAAACTCCCATCCAGACCCTGCGCTCAAACCCAAAACCTGAACCGTAAACCCCAAACCGCACTAAACCATCAACCCTCGATTTGAGGGCTTTTAGGTAGTACAAGTATTACTTTAGTTCTCGTAAACTGGCCTCTTGAGCCACATTTATTGCCGTAGTGCAGGATCGCATGCTGGCAGTCGATCGAGTGGTCTTACTGCCTATGCGCACATGATGAGTGGTGGACCTAAAGGCCTTGCCACCACCATCTTCATACACATATACGAATCAACAACACAGACATCACGAACAGTTTTGTGGCTCGCATTCTGTTCGCAGCAATGTGCAAGGGACTCAGTCTAAACTGACAGACGACCCTGGAAGTGAAGATCACCCCCTCAAAGGTCAAAGAAAGCGCTCTCTCTCTCAGGTGAAGGGTTAGGGATTTTGGTTTGTAGGGTTTAGGAAAGATCTTGAGCAAGCACCCCCAAACCCTGAACCACCTGAACCCAAGCCTCAGGCTTCAAGCCGAAACTGCACCCCGTCCTTTTCCCTTCGAAGAGCGGGCCAGCTGATTTCTTCTCAGGCAAGAAGGCATCGATGTGCCGATCTCAGAGGGTTTAGGTTTTAGGGCGCAGGGTGTAGGGTTTAGGGTTTAGGTGAAGGATTTAGGGTTGAAGGTCAAGCCCCGAGCTTGGCCGGAGTAGGTGCTTTGCCTGAAGCGGTGTGGCAACTATGGGGTTCCAACACGGGGAGTCCGAGCGTTTAGATGGCTGGCGGCGCGCGGCGCCCGCGGGCGCACGCCCGCAGGCGCGGCTTCCACTCGTGGCCTGCTCGCGTTTTGGGCCACAATTGCGCTCTCGCCATTTCTCGCCATATTGGCAGGCACAGTACTGTCTACCCCTCCAACCATCGATTGTCGTTTTTTGCGGCAAGCTATTGGGGATGCTCGATGCTGCGGTGGTGGCAACGGGCTCCGTGTTTCCGGAGGACGCCGGGAGGTTTATTCGTGCCTCGAGAGTTGGCTTTTCTTGAAGTGCTCACGGGCCGCTCTTGGGGTGCTCTTGGAGTTCTCTTCGGGGATGTTCTTGGAGTGCAATCTGAGAGCTCTTGGAATGTTTGTTCTTTCTTGTCAGAGTCTTTCATTATCTGGGGTCTACGCAGGCATATTTTGCTTCATCTCCCAACCCTATACAGGCCCAACCTGAACCCGCAAGACAAAAGATGAACCGCCGAGCGGAGTGCCAGCTATGCGTGAGCCTAAAGACCTTGAACCCCGGAACCTGAAGCCCTAGGCGACTTCGCAGGGTTTTTGCAAGCTCGTTGAAGGAAAAGCGACGGTGGCTCTCTTGTTGGACGTCTGTTCCTCTTAATGGTTTCAGTGTTAGCCGAGTTCAAGTTTAGGGTGTTCAGGGTGTTCAGGGTGGGAGGTTGCTTGATGAAGTGGCCCTGGGTGGACGAGGCCACGAGGCCAACCATAGTGTATAGGGTCGAGCTTCGGCAAGGTTGCACGCCAAAGGGTCTATTTAGGGGTTTGGTTTGGGGGGTCTTCGGGTTTTATAGGTTTGGGCTTCAAGGCTCATGGTTTAGGAGGGTAAAGGCCACAAGGCTGTCTGGTTGAGACCCCAAGCCCTGAAGCCCTGCTCGGTCTGCCCAGGCGATTATCCACTGCCCACAAGAGGAGGTGCCCGACCTAAACGAGAGTCAGCTGTGAGCACGTCGCAATACGTCACATGCCACTATTATTTGCAACCCCTTTGCTCCGGGAGCCTAAAGTGGTGCAGCACCTAGGATATTGCGATACTTCGAGGATGAACGATCGGGGGGTTTTCCGGTTGCTACAGCATGCTACAGCCTCAAAAGCTAAGCCTCAAGACAACTCTGCCTGCCAGATTCGCATCCAGCTGGTGGACATTCACCTTCAGGAAATGAGGCCGGGATGAGCGCCTGAGGCCATTTTTCACTCAGGGATGTTTTTAAGCATGGGGCCATGGCGGCTTCTTGCTGTCCCTACAGCCGGTTGAGTTATCCCCAAACCATCCATGGCCGCACCTAGGAGGAGGATGCACTGCTGTGCCCTAAACCCCAAACCCTGCAGCACCCTTAAACCCCAAACCTTCCCGCAGGGTGCCAAGACCCAGATACACCCCAGGCCCTGATCCCCACCAAAAGCATCCCTAAACCATCCTAAACCCTTAACCCTACTCCTTAATGGCCATGAACACTGACCCGGAACCTTGCAGTGAGAATGGCAGGGAGTCTATCGAGGACTACCCGCCGGAGGACGGACCCAGATGGCTTCACTAGGGATCTCAACTCCGCAAAGTAATTTTAATTCTTCCGTATAGGAACAATGTCGCACTGTTTTGAAGGAGCTCGTACTATGCTGGTGCTAGTTCACATGATTCCTAAGCGCTTGAACTAATCGGAAGTCCAACTAAACCCGACACCCTGAAGCCACTTGTGACTCCGTGGGGCTGAGCATGCTCAGGTTTTCGGATGTAGTGCTGCACAACGCTGCTTCAGTCGGTGCTGTCTTGGAGTGCGAAGGCTTCCCTGAAGCCCTGAGCCCTATGCTTAACTAGGAGGTTTAGGGGGCAACAGGGTCGAAGGGCCTGAACCCTAAAACCCTTTGCCCTTTACCGAAACCCCAACAGCATGCTTCAGCTCTTCTACACCATCCCTACACCCTGCGGCACCGCGCTCCTACCATAGCCAAATAACTGTGTTTGCAGCTTGGACGTCTCCTGAACGACTGCGCCTGACACAATTCTCGCACGACTGGCTACAAACCTCAGAACGGGACCCTAAACCGCCCTAAACCTCGAAACCCAACACCTAACATCCTAAGCGGACAGGTGCGTTTCATTATTGCTGCTTCCCTCACAGCGGGCATGTTGCGGCATGGCCTCTTCGAGGCCGGCGCACGCACAGGTTTGATGGCAACAAGGTTTGATCCTGGGCTTGAGGTGTTGCAATTTTGGGTTTAGGGCAAAAGGGTTTGGGGCTTGCAGGGTTTTCAGTTGTAGGCCTTGTAATTTGGGTCCTCTTGGTTTTGCCCATCTGTTGGGTTCTGCAGGGCTTCTAGATGCTTCGAGGGTTTCCTGGGGTATCATACGGTTTGAGAGTTGACCGGGCTCGTGGGGCTTCAGGGCTTATAGGGTTACGGGTAAAGCTGCTCTCAGACTCTCGACCATGGCCTGAACCCAACTCTGTAACCCAAGCCGCTTTCCAAGTCACTCGAAACCCCCCACAGACCTTATCCCCTCAAACCCTAAATCCCCCTAAACCTTAAAAGCCTTCAACGCACGAGCCGACTGATATCTTCCAAGTGCTGGGTTCAGACTGTTTGGGTTTGGTTTTCGGGATTTGGGTTGGGTTGGAGAGAATGCAGTATATAGTCCGTAAGCCAAACCCCAAAATTGGCCCTACCCCCAAACTAACAACTAGACGCTGGTGGTTCATTGTTGTCCCGAAGCCCTGGGGTGCGCTTTCGGCCCCAAACCAGAAGCCCAAGACCCAACCGTACAAACCTTAAACCCTATAAACCCTAAATGCCCTGCAGTTCTGTCAGTGAGTAACAGTCAGTCAAACCTGCGAAGCGGAGCATCCAGGCGGAAGGTAAAACAAATCCCTGCAAAGCCCTTTGCCCTCGGCCAGGACAGGGAGCCCGAGGTGTTGGAAGTGGTGATCGAGGGGATGGTGTGGACCCGGCTGTGTTTGCACATGTCTCTCGGGCTTCCTAGGGTTTTGTGGGTTTAGTTGAACCCTGCAGCCTAAGCCCAGACCCTCAAGCAGCAGTCGTCACGGCGCGCCTTCGGGTCCAGGCAGAACCCTCCGAACCCGCAAAAGCTGAACTTTGCGCTGACCACGGTCAACCAGCTGATGGATCAGTGTGTGACCCAGGCCTTGGAGTTTAGTGGTCTGGCTGTGAAAATGGGAATCTTGTTTCGCATGTCAGGGCAGAAGGCCCTATAATTAGACCCTAAACTCCAAACCCTATCATTCTAAACACCAAGCCCAAACCCTCAACCCCATTAAGCCCAAATTTTGCACCTGTGTTCCATGAGCGTCAACAGCGAAGTTCCCAAATCGATCGTGAAATCTGGCTTTCAGCATTTAGGTTTAGGAACCATGATGTCGGGAGAATCGACACGTTAAGCCCTGAACCCTGAAGAACACCCGTGGGATGAGATCGTTCTTGGGGCCCGCTGTATCCGCGCAGTTTTTCGGACGCATTCCCTGAACGTTGGACCCCGTATGTAGTGGCTATCAGATCAAGTAGTAAGTGTATAGAGTGTAAAGGACTCAGTTCGTCGCATGCTCGCGGCGCTGTGTGAGGACATTATCCGAAAATATATCTCCAACGACAATGTCGTCCAAATCTTGATGACGGCCAAGGCAAAGCTTTGAGCCAGGCTTCGAGAGAAGAATCAGCAGGCCTCCGGCGCTGAACAAACTGCTTGGAAGGTTTTTTTCCGCAGAGTTGTCGTAGGCGCATCGAGCAGACGGCCTGAAAGACATCTGCATGGTGAGGGTCCTGGATGTCAGACATTTTTGCACATCGCGACTCGCTGCTCTTCGATGCTCTTCGATGCTCTTCGATGCTGACGCCACAGTCTTCACGCGAATCAGATGTAGCCTCAGCTGCGGTCCCGGACTCGTCCCATGAGACATGTTCGAGACGACTCTCAACCCCCGCTCGAAGCCCAGGACTTCATCACCAACGAAGAGAACATGAAGCTGGCTCCCGCTTTCAAGGAGCTGATCCAGGAATCCAGGACCTTCCACGGGTCACGCGGAGGCATGCTCCAGCATGTTCCAAAAACGACACACGCAGTGATCCAGAGTAAATCTGCGGGTTCGAGGAGCCCACGCTGATGCATGAGCTTCTGATGCGGCGCACAAAGTCCTCTTTGCTCGGGCGCCGCCATGCGCCTACCCTGTCCAGGCGAGAAAGCCTACAAAGTGAGAAGCTGCATCCACAGCATCAGCTTCGATAGAGTTCCAACCAGTCGCAGAGCCTTGCTGGCCAGCCGCATCCGAAGTCTATGCAGGAGGCTGAACTGCTCAAAGATTGCCCGCACGATTACCCTCGACTCAAACTTGTCTGAACACTACCAACCTCAAGATGCTTCGTTTGCATGTGTGAAAAGCTCTTTGAATCCCCGGCCTCCTCCGGCCAGTGTCACTCATAGCACCACGTGGGCGGTCCGGATCAGGTCACCCAGAGACAGTCACACGCAAAAAAATGGACCAAGACAGGGCCAGGGTATGCCAGGGTGTCTGCCAGAGTCTGCGGCGTTCTGACATGTTGTGACTCCTTCGTGGCGTAGTTTCTGTGACCAGCGACTGCGACGCAGGTTTGGTCGGATGGTCCGTGTCCACTTAGGTCCTACAAGTTCCCTAAACCCCAATACACTACATTGCACGGCCGACAACCCAGCTCCACGATTCCCACAAACCTTGCTGAATCCAGTACGTTCTTTGCATGCTGCAGCAATGTCTTGAGCTCAGGCACCACGACATGCACACGCACACATACACACATTGCATATGAGATGTGCATCTTGCACACGCCTTATTCATTCGAGAATCGAGCCGTAGCTGCAGCCACTTAGAGTCACTTAGAGCAGGAACCCTGCATCCGTACATCCTTCCTCCCCGATGGACGTAGTACTTGAGGTGGTTCAGCCCTCTGCAGCAAAGTTCGGCCAGCCACGGCCCAGTGAAAGCCCACTGTAAAACCCTTCGCGTCAAAGCACCAGCCGCGCCAAAACCAAATATTCAATAAGGATTGCTCTTGCATCCGCACTTCGCTTCCAACATGGGTGCGGTCGAGTGTGGATGCTGCTTTTCTCTACGGCCAGGCCATGAAACCAAGGCAACCACCAACTGCCCGACTGCTGAAGTTCCCGGGCCTCGTAGTGCACGTGTTGTTTGATATGGGTTTCAGGCTTCAGAGGGAGTATAGAACACTTTACGAGGCGCTTACAGAAGCGTCACATGTGACTTACGCTGACGTGCTGTTTGGTTTCTCTGAACAGAGGACCTGTGTGCCCTGGAGGGCGCAGACAGAGGTTTCGGGTTTAGTGTTTTCAGTCCTGCTGCAACCAATGTTGCTTAAGACCCCCGAAATCTGTGGAATGCTCCTTACACTGAAAACCCCAAAGCTAGTCCGCTACGCTTTCGGAAGGTGGAGTGGCTTGGGGGCACCAGCCCCGAGGAGTGCCCAGGGTTTAGGCCCAAATTCGACCACCGCAGTGTTGCTCCCGATTTCCATGCCACCTCTTGGCACTTCTGGGAAGTCTTGCGCATCTTCGGCTCGATGAAATCAGCGCCAAGCACACGACCTTTTTGCGCACTTGATGATTCGTAAGGGTAAGGGGTTGCTTCTTTCAAGCATGTTGCGAGGCAGAATTGTCGACTCTTGCAGTGAGGAGATTGAACCGCAGTTGGGGGTATATAAGGTTATTGCCCATGCTTTCCGACAGTTCTTTCTGAACCCGGCTGGCCACGTTTAGGGCCCTACCAAAGATCCCAAACCCTAAGCCCTAATCCCTAAACCCTAAACCCTCGTAGAAAACCTTCAGCCCTCCAGTCATGTACGAAATTCTTGGGACTTTCCGGGATTCCCAACCCCTCTCTCCCGGCTCGAAAAGTGTGGTCCGCGGAAGCTGCGCGGAAGCCTGTGTGTCGATGTCAAGGTACTGAATCCGCGCTCTTGAATCGACGGCTCAGCAGCTCAAGCAGTCCGCGTCCGCGGAAACAAACGCAGCGGAAGACTAGAATCACTAGAAACAATACTCGCGCAAGGACTGCAGAAGGTTCCGCGACTTGTTCATTATTTCATTGAAAGTCGTAGGAATTAAAACCACAGCTCAAATCCTCACAAACAAGCCTGTCGAGGGAAAACCTGAGTCCCGAAACCTTCACTAAAGCCTACAAGGTCGACGTAGATCCCCAACTCACCCTAAGCCCTAATTCACTAAAACCCCAAACCACAGATTAGGTGGTGCCGTTAAACCCGAAAATCCCTAGAAGCGACTTGGGCAATTGCCTCCGACCATTCCGCCTGAGGACCGAACCCAACCCTCGGACTTGCCGGCAGAGGACCGAACCCAGCCCTCGGACTTGCCGGCACCTTGCTCAGTCTTCTTGGGGGGTGGGCTTACTGTACTTGTGTGATGCATGACTCCCTAAACCCTGAACCCTAGGAGTTCAGGGCTCACGGTAAGCTACCTTTTGCCCAACAGCCCTGCATCAAGGGAAGAGAAGGTTTGATGGCGTAACCCGAATCCCCAGAAACTGCGGCATTGCCTTCCACGCAATCTACCACACAGTCTTGTAGTTGGCAGATTCGGAGAGCCACTGGGCAATTTAAAGATCTGGCTTGTTCACGGAGTCTTCATGGAAGACTTCTCGATCCGTTCACAGAACGCTTTCACCATTCTTGAGCGGCAGAACGCACATAACTTTCAGCGCATGTCAGCGTGAGCACAGGTAGTTGCTTCTGTTTGCTGTATCAGGCGCTGCTGGGGCGCATCAAGGCCCAACGACCCCTTGATGGTTTTGGGGGCTGAAGGGATCAAGCAAGCCTTAACCTTAATTAGGGCATATTGGGGCCCTCTTACCCTTTGAGCCCTAAATCTGAATCCCGCGACTACGGGCCTAGAAGAGAAGCCAAAGGGCCTCAAACCCGTCCTCAAAAGCAACCGCAAAAACTGCAGAATAGTCTGCGGCGCAGCACGAGGAAGCCTAAAGACAAAAATCTCAGCACTGCTCTCGAAACCCTAAGGTCGAAAGACGCAAACTCTGAAGCCCAGTAATCCGTAGACCAGCCCTTGTGCCAGAGTGGAGCAGAGGTTGAGGTCTAGGCTCAAGTTTGCATTTTGTGTTTTTCTGGGCGGGAAGGGTGTTGGCCTAAAGCTATGTTTCTGTGCCCATGTGTGCCCCTTGCTCCTACGTAGACTACGTAGACTAGAAAGATACACACTCTCGACTATGTCAGAGACCCCCACCCCTCCCCCCCCCTCTCCCCCCCACCAAAAAGAAGACGCAAAACGCAAGCCTAAGCCCTAATTTTAACGCTACGCGACCCGCCTCGGCCCGGCCCAGCGCATCCGCGTGAGCATGGTGATTCCGCAGCGCCCAAGTCGCTGGACCCTAAGCAATAAGGGTTGGGTTTAGGGTTTAGGGTTCCGGGTTTATGGTTTATGGTTTGGGGTTGAGGGTTAGTTTAGGATTGAGGGCTTAGGGCTCAAGGTTCACGCTTTGGGGTTTAGGGTTTTTTTGGGTTTAGGGTTCAAGACAGTTCGGCTTGGATTGATCGTAGGGTTGAGCCAGGCCCTGGGGGGGGGGGGGGGGGGGGGGGGGGGGGGGGGGGGGGGGGGGGGGGGGTTTGTTTGAGGGTTGAGCGCTTCGGGCTTAAGGTTTAAGGTTGAAGGTTTAGGGTTTAGATTCAAGCTTAGACTCTTCGGCTCGTGTAATGCATCCCGGCCGTGCTCACACCAGTTCAAAAGGGGGGGGGTACGGGGGGTGGGGGGGGGTAGGGGGGTAGGTGGGGTAGGGGGGGGGGACAAGGAAGGGGGCCGTGCTGGGAGGGGCTTCAACTGCCTCTGGTCCTGGCGAACCGTCCGCTTGCGGACCCCGGTTTCCCAGGGGGGGTACCCATTTGAGGCAAAAAAAGGGGTCGTTCTGACAACCTTTACACCTCCGACCCGAGGCCTCGGCGGATTAAGCCCGAAGCCCTGAACCATCCCGGAGGCTGCCGAGGACTGCAGATTGGAGGAGGCACCCCATGTACACGTGCTTGCATTCAAAGGTGCCTTCAGTGTGTGTTGGGATGTGCGTTGTGAGTTCTACCTGTGCAATTCAACGCCCTCACCCCAAACCCTGCCGCCAGAGGCCTTGTCTGGCGGCGCCAGCCTCAGTCCTACAGGAACACAGACTTTGGGGTGTCTGCGACTTGGGGGATGGACGGGCTTGAGGGTTTAGGCGTTAGTTTGCACCCTTATACAGCTCAAGGGCTGTGAGGGTTGAGCGGAGTCAATTCGGTTTTTGAACGGTGTGTTGGGCATGGAGTTTGGGGCAGCAGTTGCCTGGTCAAGCACTGAGGGACTTGTCTTTTGGCTATGTACGGAGAGATCCACACTGGCCTTACAATCCCACAACCTTCAGCCTCAAATCGTCGGGAGTCTGCTGGCATATCGGTATAAGTATGACGTGTGGTGCCCGTGAGATGATGCTCTGACAGTGAACGTTCCGGCCGACTCTAGGCGAGTGCCAGTGCTAAGGCAAGCAGTCTGGTGACGAGGCGCCATGGGGCAAGGTATGCATGGGCTGAAGGTGCTTACGTCGCTGCCGCACGTCATCTCGAGCTTGAGCAGTTCATAGCACTGCCAGGAGACTCGTGCGGCCGCCGCAGAGACCTTGGTGCAGGTGGCACAGGGCTTGTCAGTTGTCGCTGATTCGCCCACCGCTGCGAGGAGTTCCGGGCATAGGATACCATAGGACCCACAGGAGTGACCGTCCCTTGGGCAGGCTGCCGAGAACGGCAGACTAAACCCCAAAGCTCTCGAAGATGCTACTGGGCGCTACTGGGCAAACCCTGAAGCCACTCGAAACCCTTTGGACGCCCCTGGAGGCATCCGCATGTCTCTTGACGGCGGCTGAGGATGGCCATCTTGCAGAGGCCGGATCTGTTAACATCGGAAGGATGCACTTTGAGTAACAGCTTGAGACATGCTAAGATTGTTTGTGAGAGGGCGCAGCGCGAGGTTCTGGCTGAGAAGGATCTCGACACCGAGGAGTGCTACTGTAGAGAAAACACTCGAGCTGTCCAGGATTGGAAGCATGGGGCCCGTCAGAACAGTAGCTCC